GGGCCCTGCAGGCCCGTGTGGCTACGCAGTATGCCACACCCCCCCCTCCTTGAAAGACCGAGCTTACCTGCGAGGGCGAAGCTGTCTGTTTGAGGGAGGGACCACAGTCCGGGTGGGAGGGGCAGGTCGTGAAGGTCCCTGAGCTAACCTTTGCCGCTCGTAGTGAGCGTAGATCAGCGGTGTGGATGCTTTCAAATCTGTTCCTGAAATCCACCGAGTGTCGTCGAGATCGCATGCTTTGAATGTAACTTTGTACTGTCGAGGCTTGCTGCCGTACTTACGATCCGTGATGACGCGGTCAACTTCCTGATGACCATCCATAGAAGGAGGGTCCTGCGATCGTCGGCCCGGGAAGTCGTCGCTCTTAGCTGGTGTGTATGTCGCCAGCTTCGAGGCGTGAAAGACGGGATGGACCGTCAGATGCGGGGGGATGTTGATCACAAATGAAGGGCCATCGGGCTCATCGCCCGCAGCTGATGTTACGGGCCATGGTCCAACCACTTGGGAAGCAGTTTGCGTGAAACATCCTGTTCCAGTGCAAACTCTTCCGCGGAGACCCAAACCAGATCGCCGGCGCGGATGGGACATGGCACGCGACGCCTGTTGGCTTGCTGCTGCATGCGGACTTGAGCCTTTTGCATGTTCGCGCGGACTTGAGCCAACAATTCCCTGTACTTCCAGACGGAAGCGGGAGAGCAAGCGGCGTCGATGTCGGCTGGTCGTGGGAGGAGCAGATCGGCGAAGATACGGCCTTTCCGTCCACCGTGGTGCAACTCGAATGGAGTCACGCCGATCGCCGGGTGCACCGAAGTGTTGTAGGCGAACTCGATGTCGAGGAGGCGGTCAACCCAATCTTTCTGATCCGGACGGATGAGCGTACGCAGCATCATTTGAGCGGTTTGATGTGCCCGCTCCGTTTGCCCGTCCGTCTGTGGATGCCGAGCCGAACTTGGTTTCATCTTTGTGCCGGACTCCTGCATGAGAGCCGTCCAAAATGTCGACATGAAGCGAGTGTCGCGGTCGCTGACTGTCTTCCGGTACACCGTGGCCGCAAATCCAACCGGTGTGCAAGAGGCGTGCCAGCTCGGGAGCCGTGGAGTAGTACTTGCAAGGGAGAAAACGCGCATACTTACTCAAACGGTCCACAACCGTGTGGATGCCGTCGTGCCCGAGGCAATCGCGGGGAAACGGTCCGGTATCATCCATGGCAATGGAGAGGCCAGGTTCCCGTGGGATAGGCATCGGGCGCAACTCGTCGTAGGGGTTGCGATTGCGGGGCTTGCTTCGTCGGCAAACTTCACAAGAGTCGCAATACCGAGTGACATCGGTAATGGGGTCGGGCCATCACAATCGTTGTCGAAGCCGTGCAATAGTGCGGTTCGACTCTGAAATGGCCGGCGAGTCGCGAGTCATGGTACTCCCCGAGAAGGCGAGTCCGAAGACGACGGTCTCGTGGGACACACAATAAGTCCTTACCTCTCGAGTGGAGGAGCAAGTACCCGTTGGCAATGCGATAGTGGCTGGGCGGCGGGTGATCCGAAGATAGCTGCGCATACAACGTGGCGAAGTCCGGATCAGACTCATAGCCCCGGATGAAGTGTCGCTGGAGTTCCTCGTTGAATGCGAAGGCATGATGTGTCATAGCGCAAAGATTGGGTCTTCGCGAGAGTGCATCTGCCGCGCGATTGGAGAGGCCGGGGAGGTGTTTCGGTGTGAAGTCAAATTGGTTGATGAAGTACATCCATCGTCCGATCGTGCTGCTCACCGTATCCTGCGTCTTGTAGTAGGTCAATGGGTTGTTGCCCATGACCCATGTGAACCTTCGATGCCCAAGGAGGAAGTGCCGCCATCGCTTGAGAGCCATCACGAACGCGAGCAGCTCCTTCTTTCTTGCATCATCAAGCGAATTGATGGGAGGCACTTTGTGGCTGAAATACTCCACAGGGTGTCAGTCGTCACCGTCGTGTTGTTCCAAGACTGCCCCAATGCCATAGCCGGAAGCGTCAGTTGTCACTCTCGTAGGCAGAGTGGGGTCATAGATGCTAAGGACGGGTGCCATGAGCATGGCCGTCTTAAGTGCTTGGAATGACCGGCGTGCGTCGTCATCGAATACGAATGGCACCTTTCGCGATTGTAATCTCGTCATAGGTGCGGCAATCCTTGAGTATTCGGTGATGAATCGCTGATAGTAGCCCGCCAATCCCATGGATGAACGAACGTCCGTGGTGTTGGTGGGCTCGGGCCATACGTATATTGCCTCGATCTTGTCCGCAAGCGGACGGATGCCTTGCGGCGTCACATAATGTCCTAAGTACTCCAGCTCTTGCCACGCGAATTCGCATTTGTCGCGGTTGGCTTTGTACTTGGCTTGTCGTAGCCGCTTCAAAACGGTGCGCAGGTGCTCCACATGCTCGTCCAAACTCCGACTGTACACCAAAATGTCGTCGAGGTAGATAAGTACGAATCGATCCAGCATGTGTCGGAACTCCGTTGTCATAGCCGCTTGGAAAGTGGTTGGGGCATTCGTAAGGCCAAACGACATAACCGGCCATTCGAAATGCCCATATCGCATCTTAAACGCGGTCTTGTAGCGGTCCTCCTGCCGGATCTCGAGTTGGTGATATCCCGATTTGAGGTCTAGCTTGGAGAAGAACTTGGCACCGCCCAGTCGTTCAAGGAGGTCGTCGATGCGTGGAAGAAGGCCGACGTTCTTGACCGTTTGCGCGTTGAGCTTGCGATAATCGATGCACAACCGCAGATCCTTGTTCTTCTTTCGGACGAAGAGAACAGGAGCACAGTATGGCGATGAGCTAGGCCGAATCCAGCCTTTCTCCAGAAGGTCGTCGAGTTGTGCCCGCAGCACACTTAACTCTTCCTCGCTCATTCGGTAGATACAACCACGCGGAGGTACAGCCCCGTCCTCGAGGATGATCTCATGGCGAATGGGCCGATCCGGTACTACTCTGTGCGGGCCTTCGAACACATCGCCGTAGGCGTCGAGAAACTCCGTGATGCGTGGGTCCAAAGATGAGTCCGTCGATGAAGCGTCATGGGGCGGGAGGGCGTGGAGAAAACACACCCCCATCTCCTCGATGTCGTCTCTGATGATGGAAGCTCGCATGCTTGCGGCGGACACCACGTGGCAGCTGATCGAAGGGTGAGGAGGAGGCACCGTGCATGGGACTAGTACTCCGTTTCGATCACGAACGTGAATGGTGCGGCGATAGAAGTTCACCGGGTGATCCTCGCTTCGCAGCCATGACATGCCCAAGATCATGTCGAATTTGGTGTCCAAAATATCGAAGGACACCGCCTCGCTTGCATGCGGGGCAAAGTACATGGGGACGTCATCTATGCACCGGTCTATTGACTTGTGCGTGTGACCGTCCGCCAACAAGACTTGCGTAGGCTGGGACTTCCTCCGGACGCGTGGGCCAAGGTCGGCGCGTACCATAAAGTCCTGGCTCATGTAGTTGCGAGATGCTCCGCAATCGATCAAAGCGCTGCAGGTCGCCTCTCCGATCTGAATGCGTACTTATAACAATGGTGCGTCAATGTCGTCATACCGTTGTGTCTTGAACTCGCGGTCGATCTTCGCAATGTAATTGTGAAGGTCGACAATCCTCTACTCCGACGTCCATCAACGGAGTTGGTACTGCAGTGTGCAAGTAATCTCGCAATTGTGCCATGAGCACGTTGCAATGCGGTTTCGCCAATCGACCGTACCGGGGAAGGGACATCCATTGGAAGTCCGCAAACGTCAACGGGTCGAGCTCTTCAAGTCTTGACCATATCGTCGAATCCCTGGCTATAGATGGCGGCGAAGCTGCCGACTCGGTTGCCAATGGTAGTGAAACCGTGCATGCGGTGGATTGTTGCACGTGGAGTGGTTGGTCCAACGGTGGGACCAAGTGGACAGCATAGTTCTCGTAAGTGTACTGCGAACTTGCGACATTCGCATCCTCCCCAGATGTGTAGGAGGCCGCTAGCAAGGCGGCCGAATCTGGCGGAGTGAGAGGTGGAGTCGCCTCACCTCCCGCGGAACTCAATTTCCCGAGTTGATATGAGGCCGAACATCCTCCTTGCCTTGATCCGGGAATTGGGAGGTCTTGTGCTTGGTGCTGTTGCACCAATAGCAACAGCCGTAGCGGCCGCGCCACTTGTATTCCGCCTCGGTCAAGTGAAACTTGACCCATGGTGCTGGCTATCCGTTTCCGGTCGGCGATGCGGTTTTCGCCTTCCCGTTTCCTCGGGACTTGTTGTTGCTTCGCGGCTGGACAGCAGCCACCTAATCTTTCTCACGAGACGCTTGGGTGGCTGCCGGGTCTTCCACAATGTTGTCCGATTGGACTGCAGCGACATGCTGCGGCCGCGGACCAGTTTTCACCTTCTCCACATAGGTTGGCTGCCATGCTGATTTCTCATGTGCAGCTGCCCTATTGGTCTTTATGATCTCCCTTGCCTTGTCGATGATTTCAACGAAGGTTGCGTATTGCTTGTGATCACCAAGTGCAAGGCTCAAGGCGGCACATGACCGGTTGTAGAACTCTCGGCGTAGATGCGGAAATGGCAATTCTAGATCGGGCATTGCCGCGATCTTTTGCCATTCCGTGAGCTAGTCGCATGTTGTTGTGTTGCCTTGCGTCATAGCGAAGAGGCGGTTGATGGCGAGCGTCGGGGCGTCGTCTACGATGAACCGCTTCTTCCATAGCCGTGTTAACTCTTCCCAAGAGATCTTATCTTTCAGATCTGCGATGTCGACGCCATGGACGGCTGCCAGGTGGCTCAACCAGATCTGGCATCCGCCCTTTGAGTTGAGGAATAGTGCGCCGATGTACGCGTGCTTGGCGACGAACAGGATCCGAAGTTGCGTAGTAAAGCCCTCCCACCAGAGGACCGGGTCTTGATGCGTATAATCATCGAACTTCTCGATTTGGAATGTCGGCATCTTGTAATGCTGCGTGGTGTTGCCATCCTTGTTAGGCAGCTGCAGTTGCTGAACCTCGGTCTTCAAGGTGTCCAACTGGTTGCTGATGGTGGCTGGTGCAGCGAAGGTACTGATGTCGCCGAGCATTGCGACTACATGGTCAACTCGTTCCTCCAGTTGGCGGGCAGAGGGTGCACTGCAAGACTCGCCAGCCTCCGATCTTGGTGCAGTTTGCTCCAAGCCCTGTATACGGGAATCAAGTGCCCGTGCTGCATCCTTGTCCTGAGCCTTGTGGTTCCGTACGGCCCGCTGGAGGTTCGCCAGCTCGGACTGCAGGTGGTTACAAGTGTAAACCAACCTAGTCACGAGTTTGGCCATGAATTCCTTGTGCTGGTCCTCCGGTGTCGCGTCGTCGTGCTCCTCGGATGGTTCAAAGTGCCAAAACTTGAGCTTTTTTATGCTGGTGGCTTCATGCCGCTGTAGCAGATCCTGGGCCTCCTTGCGGCGTGCCTGGGTATCTGCTTCAGCTTCGGCTTGAAGTCGCTGCTTCTCAACTGTTGCCGCCGCTTCAGCCTGTAGGCGGACAGCCTCGGCTGCTAGCTGGCGCTGTTCCTTAGCCTCGATTAGTGGGAGCTGAGCTTCGAAACGCTGTCGGTACTTGGCAATGGAGTCATTGGCCAGTTGGCCTGGCATGCCCAGAGCTGAGCCCGTCATGGTGGCAGGGCACTGCTGACATGGCACTGTGGCACTGCTGACGTGGCACTGCTGACATGGCACTGCTCATGTGGCACTGCTGACATGGCACTGTTGTTGACGTGGCACTGTTGTTGACATGGCACTGCTAACGTGGCACTGTACCAACCCGAGAATGCATTCAAAAGGGGTGGGTGGGAGGGAAAACGCAGGTAGGTAACCAACCCAACAATACTTTCCTCCCGGCCCTAATCAACAGATAAAATAAAATAAAAAAATAAAAAAAGAGGCTGGCTACCAGCCGGGCCGCCCGGGTCCCGGGTGGCTAGCCCGTGCAAGGACCAGGGAAATTCCCAGCTAAAAAAAAAAAAAAAAAAAAAAACAAAAAAAAA